CGCTCTGCTGGTGTGATTTGCGTGGCAGGCGCAGCGCTTGGTGCTCTCCAAGGGGTCGGATGTACGCCCTGCCGTCCATGGGTCGCCGCCGCTCTGCTGGTGTGATTTGCGTGGCAGGGGCAGCGCTTGGTGCTCTCCAAGGGGTCGGACATCTGGCGTCCATGGGTCGCCGCCGCTCTGCTGGTGTGATTTGCGTGGCAGGCGCAGCGCTTGGTGCTCTCCAACGGGTCGGATGTATGCCCTGGCGCCTGGCGTCCGTGGGTCGCCGCCGCTCTGCTGGTGTGATTTTTACGTGCAGGCGCAGCGCTTGGTGCTCTCCAAGGGGTCCCTGGCGTCCGTGGGTCGCCGCCACTCTGCTGGTGTGATTTGCGTGGCAGACAGCGCTTGGTGCTGCTCTGGATGTACGCCCTGGCGTCCGAGGGTCGCCGCCGCTCTGCTGGTGTGATTTGCGTGGCAGGCGCAGGATGTATGCCCTGGCGTCCGTGGGTCGCCGCCGCTCTGCTGGTGTGATTTGCTTGGCAGGCGCAGCGCTTGGTGCTCTCCAACGGGTCGGATGTACGCCCTGGCGTCCGTGGGTCGCCGCCGCTCTGCTGGTGTGTTTTTTACGTGCAGGCGCAGCGCTTGGTGCTCTCCAAGGGGTCCCTGGCGTCCGTGGGTCGCCGCCGCTCTGCTGTTGTGATTTGCGCGGCAGACAGCGCTTGGTGCTGCTCTGGATGTACGCCCTGGCGTCCGAGGGTCGCCGCCGCTCTGCTGATGTGATTTGCGTGGCAGGCGCAGGATGTATGCCCTGGCGTCCGTGGGTCGCCGCCGCTCTGCTGGTGTGATTTGCTTGGCAGGCGCAGCGCTTGGTGCTCTCCAAGTCCGTGGGTCGCCGCTCTGCTGGTGTGATTTGCGTGGCAGGCGCAGCGCTTGGTGCTCTCCAAGGGTCGGATGTATGCCCTGGCGTCTGTGGGCTGGTCTCCGCCGCTCTGCCGGTGTGATTTGCGTGGCAAAGCCTTTTCCTGCTAGGCTGGTCTTGAAAAAGGGGCTCTCGGTACACTTTTCGATTTGTGCTCGACTGCACTCCTCATTTGGAACTCGATCCGAATCATGTCGGACACTGGAGAACGTGCTTCTCTGAAGCTTCAGCCCAAACCCCTTTAAGGTGTTCGAAAGAGGGTATATCCTACCCAAGAGTGCTGCAAGTGGCCACTCCGTTGGCCTTGGTTCATCAACGATCACGTACTTTTCCTTCCTGATCGTGGCCCACGCAATCGTCAAGCGCCAGGGCGACCAGTACCTTCTCCCCCCATAGATTTGGGGAAAAATCAAACAACTTCTTTCGCTCCTGCATGTGTTCTCGCACAGCGACCTTTGCCCCACCCGGCAGCTCCTCGATCGTCAGCCATGTGTCCTTGGCCGCCGTTCTCTTTGGAGGGATCCCAACCTTCCGCTCAGTGAACGGGAGAAGAAGCCAGGTTGGAACTGTTCATCCATCAGGAAGTCCCACACCCTCACGTCGAAGATGTAGCCTCTTCCCCGACTTTCTCCACCTTCCTGAGATGCCATCGGTCGGGACGTTCTCTGAGCCGTCCCATGTTCATTGTAGATCACGTGGGTGCCCTCTGAGTCCATCCCGCTGGGTGACGTCTTCCAGCTTTGGCTTCTCTTCTTCTTCTGGGGTCTTGATCTGTCCGAGCGCCGCTCGTCCATGCTCATCGTACTCAGGAAGAAGTTCTCCATGTAGGGCCTTTGGTGGATCGCGAAGTCTCCACCCTTTTTCCCGACTTCCATCAGCAGGAAGCGAACTGGCTCTCCTCCTTCACGAACCCATGTCCCCGATCTTCCATGTCTCTCGGACCTTGCCTTGGCCTGGTCTCGACCGGTTCTTTCCGCCTCTTCCTTCAGCTCCTCCATCTCCCGGCAGTTGATCGGATCCACGGCCTCCGACTCAGTCAGCAGGGCTCCATACCCCTCCACCATGGATGGTCTCCATTCCTCCATGTTTTTCCGAACGTCAACCAGTCCCACCATTCGGGTCTGCAAAAACTCTCTTCCAACAGCTCGAGCTCCTGTGACAGCAGCGTCGCACCTCGGCGATGCACTCCTATATGTGCGACAAGGTGGACCTCCCAACAGTGCCCAAAGCGTGCCGCCGTCGGCAATCTCGAGGAGGTATAGGCGAACACGTCGTCGCGAAGCAAGTTCATGCCCGGTCAATGACCGTGTCCACACAGAGCAGTACTTCTTGGCGTCTCCACTGAACAGGTGCACCACCGCTTCTTTGGCCTTCCTCACCCTCCTTCGCTCGCGCCGGTTCCAAGGGAGTGACTCCCCCGTTCCCGTACCATGCTCCTCTCAATTTCTCTATATCAGCTCTCTGCCCAACTCCTCCGTCTCGGTCGGACGCATGCCCTCCACCACGACATCCAGCAGCGCCCCACTCGTGTCTGTGCTCAATGGCTTTCACCGAGGCGCGTCCATCATTCGCTGGCCTCAGACTCTTCAAAAGCGTTGTCGCCTCCGACAACAAGGCTTGAACTTCTCCCAAACTGGCGGGTTTCGCAATCTTCTTCTCATCCGTGGGTTCATCAGCCTGGGCGTTGACGTTCTCCGGGACCGATTGTCAGTCAGGGATCTCCACATCGGCCCACGCCTGACTCGGTTCATCCTTTCTCCCACGATCCCGTGTCACCGGCGGCGGCGCCCTGCGTGGTGAAGGTGGCGGCGTCGATGTCGGTGGTCTTGGCTTGTCTTCGATCGCCTTGACCGCCTTGAACTTGGCTTCCACCGTCTTCCGGAGCTCAGACCTGGGTGGACTTACCTTCCTAGTGCAGGGTCGTTGGGCTCATAACCTAGGCTGGTCTTGAAAAAGGGGCTGTCGGTACACTTTTCGATTTGTGACCGACTGCAGGATATACACCCATGGCGTCGCCCTGGCGTCGCTGGGTCTCCACCCCGGGCGCGGTACTTGGTGCTCTTGGTCGGGGTCGGATGTACGCACTGGCGCCGCCGCCGCCAACCACCAACCACCAACCACCAACCACCAACCAACCACCACCAACCACCACCAACCACCAATTGTCCGCTCCTAAGTTGTTAACATGTGGGGTTATCCGGTCCTATAATTGTCAGATTGATTTGACTATTGGAATTGCTGAGACCCAGGAGCTCACGTTCAACTATGAGTAGTTTTTTGTTGCGCTCACTCAGTCCCTGTAGGTTGACTTGTGGGACGAGCAGTTGGGCCTTGATTTCGCTCAGTCCACTTTATTCAAAACAAAGTGGACTAGAATCATCCTCGACGAGGCCCATCGCATCAAGAACACTCATGGAGGCACGTCGCAAGCTGCGGTGAATTTGCGAGGCAAGCGGAGATGGTGCATTTCTGGCACGCCTGTGCAAAATAGAATTGGAGACATATACGGGCTGCTTCGCTTCCTGAGGATGCGCCCATATGGCTTTTATCGGTGCAACAGGAGAGGGTGTGATTGCGAGTGCTTCTGGGTTCGGTGCTGGGAGGGCACACTCATGTGTCAAGCCTGCGGACATCGTCGATCCCAACACCGCAGCATCTTTGCCAGTGACATCTCGGCGCCGATTCGTCAGTTTGGCTTTCTGGATAGTGGCAAGACAGCGTTGGAGAGACTGCGCTTTGAGGTCTTTCAGAAACTCATGCTGCGACGAACAAAAGCCTTGCTTGACCTTCCGGAGTTGCGCATCAGCATTAGGAAGATCTCCCTCAGTCCTAGGGAATCTCGGCGCTACAAAGCGATGAAAGAGCAACATCAAGGTGTACTGGAGGCTTTTATCGCAGAAGGAACATTGATGAAGAATTTTGGCCATGTTTTCAGCATCATCATGAGGCAGAGGCAAGCAGCCAACCACCCGGATTTGCCAAAATATTCGGTCGATTCAACATGTCCTTTCTGCCAGCTTGAAGTCGAGGAAGAGCCTGTAAAACTCCACTGCGGGCGACATGAATGCCACGAGGTTTGCTGTCTCGAGGTGATGAGAGAATGTGGTGAAGACGAGATAACTTGCCCAAGTTGCGAGCACGAACAGCGAGCTTTGCAAGGCCCGAACTTGCCCGAGGCTTTAATGGCTGCTGGTCGCCCAGTGCGCGCATCAAGCAAGATCAATACTCTGATCGCAGAAATCTCAGAACTTGAGGCGCCAAAGTGCTTGGTTTTCTCTAGCTTTGCTCACTTTCTTGAGCTCATTGAGTACCACTTGAAGGAGCGCAATGTTACTTGCTCTCGTATTTCTGGCAAGACCAAGATGCAGGAACGTTCTGACATCATCAAGCAGTTCAATACGGAACGGGAGCCAAGCGTCCTCTGTGTTTCACTGCAAGTAGGCGGCGAGGGGTTGAACTTGCAGGCTGCAAATCAAGTGTTCCTCATGGATCCCTGGTGGAACCCCGCAGCGGAGCAGCAGGCGATGCGACGGTGTCATCGTTCCTTGCGCGTGTAATTCGACCGTTTATGACCTTTGTCCCCCTTTGGCCTTTTTGGTTTTCTCTCTGGTTTCCAAACAAAAACAAACGGTTTACGTGAACGAAACAATTTTATATACCCCTAGCGATAGTTCATCCAGGGGTTCGCTCCATCTTCTGCTGCTATCCAGGACTCGGACAGTCGCGACCCGTATACGTGCACCGCTTTGTTTCGGAAAACACCATTGAAGAGCGGATCCTTCTTCTGCAGGAGAGGAAACAACTCACCGTTGATAGCGCCTTGGCTTGCTTATTGGTGAAATCTCAGAAGAGCGTAAAACGCAAGTTGTTTTGTTGAATAGTGCAAAGCCAGGATTCATACCCTTGCAGAAGTCCGGAAGAACGCCATTTGTAGGATGTTGTGGCTTTAAGCAAGAAAAGGAACTACGTTCAATGCGCTAAAGGTAGACTCCTGGAGTTTTTGAGTTTGCGAACGTATATATATATATATATATATACATCTATCTATACTGGTCAAGGACCTAGCTTATGTTCTGAAAGAGCTTTTGCTGATGCCAGCATATGCCAGCGTGCTGGGACCTCCTGATTTGGGATACATCCCCCAATAAACATGAGCGGTACTCGTACTACTTTTGGCTCAAGACAAATAGGAGCGTTGCTATTTTGTTCATGGTAGCGGAGCGCTCGGGGCGACCCCGGTAGATGTTTACCCTTTGGACCACCCTTCGGACTTGTATCTGTCAGAGAAGGGACCGCGCTGCTTTGAGGGTACTAAGGCTTTGGCGCCGGTTGGTGAATCGGCTGTTCAGGATGTGGAGGCTTCAACGCATCTTCGGATACCTGGGCCATCATCTGCAAGACTTGATCCAGACCCAGGCGTTCAGGCAACGGTTGTTGAACTCTCGGTTGACTCGACCGGGACTGATCATGCAGTGATGGTGGCCCTTGAGCAGATTGCGGCGCAGGTTGTGACCTTGAGGCGGGAGTTGAGTGAAAGTCGGAGGAGAGAAGAGGCCTTGAACACAAGGCTTCAGGCGGCGCAGAGTACAGGGGCTACGCAGGCGGCTTTGCAGGAGATGGTCAACACGCAGAAGGCCATTCTGGAAGCGTCCAAGAAGCCAGATAAGAAGCTGACTCTGGTCGACAACCGCAGTTTGGCAAAGCCACGCAACTTTGATGGTTGGGATGAGGGCGACTCGGGTTGGTACGGTGACTGGACCGAGGACCCGGGCTCAAACCCAGAAAACAATTTGCTGGTGTTGGGAGCGCTTCACCGCGCCCGAACCAACATGGGCAGCAAGAAGAACCCAGATCCTAAGAAGGAGACTCAGCCGAAAGCACCTGTGAGCAGCGGAATTGTCATGGATCTCAAGACCGCCATGAAGCGGCTGACGGCGGAAGACAAGGGCGGACCTTCACTTACTTGCTGACTCTGGATCTGGCTCCTCTGGGGATCGGTCAGTCGATGTGATGATGAAGCTGATCGAAGAGAACTACAAACTTCGCGATCAGATCAAGCGCCAGGAAGACAAAGAGACCCGTGGTCGGCGTGATTCGCGGGATTCATCCCGCGGACATTCGCGATCACTGGAGCGTGGACGCTCGCCCAAGAAGAAGGCTAAGCGCGATTCTACTGGCGAGGAAGAGCGCGTCGCAAGAGCGACAGCGGTGAGCGGAAGAAGCGTCATCGCAAGCTCATCGATGTGCAAACTACATATCCCAAGTCGGCGCCGCCAAGATGGGGACACTCTGCGAAGGCGGAGAGGCACGGACAGGAGCCGCAGCCACCGCCATTCCTTCCGATCTCAACTTGGAGGGATACATCGCGCAGGACATCACAGCTACGAGACAGCGTCCGCTGAGTCGCTGGCGGATGAGGGAGGAGTTGCGCTTCGCGGAACGGACGCCAACGGGAGCGTACATCGCGCCCTGGCCTTTGGGGCGAAGGTGGCGCGTCAACATCGCGCTCGGGGCGCGTGGCAGACTGTTGACCCCGAAGGATTCGCAAGCTGGAAAGGACTAGTATTCGGCGTTCTTGGAGAAGCTCTACAAGAAGCATGGGGGAATGACTCCGGAGCGCGCGCAATGGGACGGACTTTTGGATTGCGCCCAGATCAGGCGAAGGCTCGTGGAGGGCTTCCCAGTCGAGTCGGGTGTAAGTCCGGAACTCCAGCCGTTGGAAGATGCTCCAGCCGCGTCGGCGGGGGCGCCCGACGAGGATGAGTCGAGGTTGGAGAAGAGTAGAGGCAAGTGGTCGTAATGCGATCACCTGCGGATCCTACCAACCAAGAGGCGCAGGAACGTCGTGCAGCAGGGCACGTTGTTCACCGAAGCTGGTGCATCCACTGCCAGAGGGCTCGAGTAATGGGTCAGCGCCACAGACGTGGAGATACAGCTCAGGATGAAGATAAGAGGACGCCGCGCGTTTCACTTGATTGTATTGCTACTGCTGCATGAACTCAGGGCAGGAAAAGAGCGACTCCGACGGCGTTTTGCTGTGCTTGGCGTGTCACAAAGCAGGGCGTTATTGGGCGAATGTGGTTCCATCGAAGGGTGCAGACTTGTTTTCAGGAGAGTGGTTGAAAGCGTGCCTCAGTGAAACAGGTTTCAGTGAGCTTTGTTCAAAGAGCGACAACGAGCCGGCCATCCTTGCTCTCTGCAAGGCAGAGTGAAGGAGGAAAGCAAGCTGAGGATTCACCTCGCACTGGTTGAAGGTAAGAAGTGGAGGATCCCTCTGGTGAGTTTTGGCGAGCGCATTCTGCCAGGCCAAGGCTACCGCGAGATGGTCGATGACGTGATCTTGCACCAAGAGTTTCCATGGGAATGTTTGTTGGCGCAGGATTGCGCAACAACGACGTCTTCGTCATGACCGCGAGGGGAAGAGTGAAAGGCAAGACTATCATTCGAAGACCTCCTGAAGATCATATTATTAAGTACAGCTGGAGCGAGCTCTGGCGAGTTCCTTGGAACTTCAGTCACGTGACCTGGCGAGGTTCGAGTTGACCTGTCAGTCATTGCGGGGCCCATGACAAGGCAAATAGCAGAGGAGGTGATTCCGAGGATTCTCTGTGTGACGAAGAGTGACGTCGACAAGTTCGTCACACTGCATTGTGTCCAGGTTGTGAGGCACAGTTGATGGGAACGGGTCGCAGGGCCCGCAAACCACATTGCAGGTTCAGGATTGAGAGCGAGCTCATGAAGACCGAAAAGAAGGAAAGCAGAGGATTGAGGGTACAAAGGCTATAGGATTGATGCTGGGCGCCGCGCTAAGGCTCCAAGAGTCGGAAGCCGGGCTGGTGAGCCAGAGGTTGTGGAGGCTGCCAACGTTTCTGGGTATAGGTGTTCCAGAGCCTGATGCCGAAATGGCCTCGGGAGAAGCTGTTGGCCAACCACTTGAAAGAGTTGCACGCCGTGAACGTGAAGATCGAGGAGACGATCCCGCAAGCCCAAAGAAGAAGCAGAAGTCCGGCGCTCGTCGGGCGAAGAGAGATGCAGAAGCAGACATTGAGGAGCTGTGTCGTCAGATCTGCAGGCGCAGTTGTAGATGATGAAGGTGGTGATGGGGCCACTTTCATCGCTGGAAGCACAGACTCCCGGCCACCAAGAGTTCCAGTCGCGGCTCCAGATGCTTCATCTGGAGGCAGCGGTGTAATATAGGACAACTTTCTTTGTGCCTGTGTTCTGTTTTGAGAGACGCCCGAAAGAAAGGCAATGTACAGAAGACTGTTTCAGAGATCTTTTCACCGCCAAGAGTTTCAGCGTGAAGACGGAAGCCATTGGGACTTGAGCAAGCACTCCCGCATTGAGGAGCTGTTCGCACTGCTTGAGAAGGAGAAGCCTTCGCCGCCATGTGGACCGTTTTCACAGCTCCAGAACTTGGTCGACGTCCGGAACCTAGGTGCAAGAAGCATCTGCGAACTTCAGCGCGCGCCTATCGTGCACAGTGGACGCAGGCCGCTACTTTTTGCGCGAGCGTCTAAGACCCACGTGTCTATAGACCCCAAGATGGAAAATGGAATCAGAAGACGTGTGGGGCAAGGGCCCAAACTCGCCGCGCTTGGCGAGGACGCTATCTAGCGTATGCTCCAATAGCCAAGACAAGACTTGGCGTCGGCGCGTGAACCTCATCAATGGTCGGGCTAGATCAGCGCAAGTCTATACTGTTGGTTCGATGCATTCTCGAAGCGTTGAGAAGCCAACTTGGCTGCGGATGGCAAGTTCATCAGTTCTTGAATTCGCTGGGTGTTGGACCTGTATACCAGATGCCGCTCCAGTCATAGATGAAGAGCAAGAGTTTTTTTGACCACCTTCCTTCCGCTGACTCACGTGACAGTCACCGAACCAGTCTATGACACCAACACTGGTGCAGGGTTGGACTTGGAGAAAGTGGCCGATGCTCGAACATCCGGAAAAGTCCCAATCACAATGAAATGGGTTGACGCAGCAAAGGCGGCAACGAGAGGCCCAACTACAGGTCTCGACTTGTTTGCCGTGAAATCAAGAGAGCCCGCAACGCAGAATACATCCCAGAGTACGCAAGCTTCAGCGCAACGCCACCCTTAGAGGCGTTGAAGATATTGCTTTCTTTGATGGTCGCGCTCAAGGTTTCCAAGCGCAATCGCAAGCTGTTGAAGGTTCGGCTGATTGACATCAGCAGAGCCCACTTCTATATGGACAAGCGCAGCGGGAAGTCTATGTCACCCTCCCCGTGGTACGCGAGACGCGGCCAACATCTGGCAGCAAACAAAAAAAGAATGTCTTGAACCAAGCCGGATTCCAGAGACCTCTTTCACGAGAGGCACGGCTGTTGGTCCATGGCGACAACTTTGTCATCCTGGGTGACGACGCAGCTCAGCAGCGCGCCGAGAAGGCGGCGAGAGAAAAATACGATCTCCGTGTCGACGGAATTGGAGAAGCCAAGCAGGAGTTCTGCGTCCTGAACCGTCTCGTACGCTTCGATGGGAGGACAGGAACAATCTTCTACGAGCCAGATCCACGCCGTGCAGACATCTTGCTGAAGGACCTCGACCTCGACATGGAAACGTGTAAACCAGTGAAGGGCCCAAACGAGAAGTTGACAGCAGAAGCATTGGCGAAGAGAATGGAACGTGATGTTGTTGATCCTCACCGGATCAGCCAGTACCGTTCTCCCACAATGCGTGCAGCGTTCCTATAATAGCTCTCGGAGACGGTGAAGTGTTTGGCAGCCAGGCAAGGAAAACGCAAGGTCCAACCGATGCCGATTTCGGAGACCTCAAACGTTTTGCCAGATACTTAAAAGGAACAATTATACGCATGGTGCAGCGCAGAAGTTCACTCCGCAGAAATTCGGCGATGATGTTGTTTCAGTTCACGCAGACTCAGACTTTGCTGGATGTCTCTTGACTTGCGACGGGTCTGGTATGTTACTACGGGCGACACTCGCTTCGCCGCTCGAGCAACCTCCAGTCCACGGTGAGCCTGTCGTCGGGTGAGAGCGAACACTATGCCTTGGTGAAAGCTGTAGCCTCGGGCATGGCGACCCAAGAGCTACTCAAAAGTTGGGGCATCAACGCGAAGCTCCACATGTACACCGACTCAACCGCAGCGCTCGGAACATGCAACAGTCTTGGACTTGGGAAATCGAGACACATCCAGACACGATTCCTCTGGATTCAGGAGAAGCTAGCAGAACGAGCTTTTGAACTGTTCAACAACGACGCAAAGCTGAATACCGCTGACATATGTACGAAAGCGCTGGCCAGTGAAGCTGTAGAAAGCCATTTGAAGGCGATGGGTTTTGAAGCACTCTCAGGAGTGCATAATCGGTCCCAAAGTGGACGTCAGCTCGAATCACCTAACGTCCAGGTGGGGTGACTTGGCATACATACGCTCATAAACATGAGTGGTACTCGTACTACTTTTGGCTCAAGATAAATAGGAGCGTTGCTACTTTCTGTTCAAGGACGTAACTCATGTTCTGAAAGAGCTTTGCTGTTGCAAGCATATGCCAGCATGCTGGGACCTCCGAAGGTCGCAACCAAAGTGTCACATGGTACAATGTGGAAACGCTAGATGAGTTAGGAACTCTAGGTAGGCATCTCCAAAGCCAATGACTTTCAGAGGCTTCCGGCACGGAGGGCAATCTGAGTTTTTGTTGATAGTGCTAATGCTGGCTGTTTACTGGCATAAGCAAACTCGCTTCAATTGCCAATTACTTCATCGAGCAGGTCATGGTTGGCAGACAGGATAATAGTAATGTTACGCACGGGGCTTGCACATGGTTTGGGGTCATTTTTCTTGCTTGAAATTCAGCACATAGTCCCACCTCATTGGTTGCAAGCTACCATTGATGCCGCATACGACCTACGGTATGGCAAATGAGATGAGTTTCATTTTTTGTGCCATCAGCAGCTCATCTGCCCAATCTTTGGTCCGTTCATTTCGTGACTCATTTCCGGCTAGTATATGTCTCTTGCGGAAGATCTGCAAACGTACTTGTGTTTTTGTTGCAACAAGGGCCGTTTCTGTGGATCTATTTTTTCGGGCAATACCCATGTGTCCAAAATGTGGTGTTCCAAGGACTTCCTGTTTCGATGTACGGTTGCTTTGAACCAGAGGCGTTGAAGTATCAAAACATGGAACATTCTTCGTTTTCACGCTCAGGCACCATCGGCGGCAGCAACAGCGCCTTATTGAAACTGACAAGTTCAGATGTGCAACTCCTGTTTCGAGACTGATCCATTGAACCCTGCCAAGGGCAACTTCACGGATGAGATTGGAGCCTCAGATTTGAGTAGTGTTTTTGACAGTTTCAGTGTTTTTAATGTCGATGTCATGAACATATATATATATATATATATATTGGGTTTTTCCTTTGCAAAGTTCAAAACACAATTTCAATGGGCAACGGGGGCAATTTTTGTAGGGGAAGAGTTGAGCGGAGTGGAGATGCGGATGCGCAGAGCAGGACACCCTGAATCTAAGTGTAGTGTACCTTCCTCGGAATTGTCAGTGCAGGGCTACACGGGAAATTCAGCAGTTGCCCAGTTTGCCAGTGCTCCTGTGAAGGCAGCTACAAGAGCAGGAGCATTCTGCAGAGCCGCACGGCCTTTATTATTGACATCCTTGCCAGGAGCGGCCGTCGCTCTTCGCTACTTCGACTCCTTGGCTTAGGCGGCACCAAGGAGTGCTGTGACGAGCTCTGCGCATCTGAAGTGAAGCACCCTGGAGGGTGCCACTCCGGAGGTGGAAAAGAAGAAGGAAGGAGAAGGATGGGCGAATTGCCATGCTTGTCATCCTAGAAGCCTTCGCAGAGCCACGCACGCCTTTGGGAGCGTGCTGGAATTGCTGGCTTCCAAGATCATTGACTTTTGCGTGTGCCTTCCAAGAGAGTGGTCCTTGGTTAGATAGATGCCTATGCAAAGGAGCCTGGCGGGGCTGCAGTGACTAGGGCCGAAAAGATGCTGCTGCGGCATTTCGTTGATAATTTGATACAAGCTATGATATCAGTACAAACTCGAACATCCTTGTGCACTTCAATTTGAAGGGCCAACACAAGTTCAATTCAAGATGCCTGAGGGCATAAGCCAGGTGGAACTAGCTACCAACGTCCCTCCATACTGTACCACCCCAAAATCATTCATTTGGCAGCATCCACCACGAAATGCTTGCGCTAAGTGTGTGCTTTTCAGGTCGCGCTCTCGTCGCAGGGGTGGCAACTCGTTGCAGGCAGCCTGGGTGAGCGACATCGTTGAACGGTTTGTTTGACGGAAACCAATCCGCCGGCACCCTCTTTGTCTCGAGAATCTCCCCTCTTTGTAGAATGGCAGCACCTTGGACCGGACCTCTTTTCTGAATTGGATCCACTGAAGAGGGCTTGTGAGTGTTTCAGTGTTTGTTTGTGTGCACGTTGCATCTCCATTCATCCCAGTCGCAGGAAGTCCGCATGCCCAATTTTCGTTCTATTGCATGCTTCACAAAAACTAAAGAAACGGTTTAGTTTGGTCCACAATTCACGATGTTTTGGGAAGTTCAATAAGTTGGCCACATCTGCCAGAGAGGACGAGCTCCGCGCAGATCGGGGTGAGGAAGCGCCCCGGGAAGAGCCTCGTCAGGAGGCGCTAAGAAGATCAATTTGCCCGAGTCTGTTTATCTAATAATACGTTTAATAGTTTAATAGGTTTCTACGGAGCTCAACCATATTGAACCCGTGTTTTGTAACAAGGTGAACAACTAGCATTTAGAAAACCTCGAGGGTCTGTTTGTCTACCTCTTCTTGGCCTTTGCTAGGAGGCGCCTCCACCGCCAGAGGAACCTCGGCGAAAGAAGTCACGCTGGGGAGAGGCACCTGAATTTGGATGGACTTTGGGATGGATCTGACAGATGAGAGCAAGAGTGTTCAGAAGTTCATCTCTTATCGTCTCAGAAAGACATGGGATCTCGACTTGCAGTTTCGCAGATTTTGTGACAGCTGCCTGACTTGAAGCTTGTGCCATTCACATGAGATGCAAGTATTCCAATTTGGGTGACACATTATATACCATATATTAAAAAAATACACACACAGACTAACTTGGAACTGACAAAGACCTTCATGCTGTTGTGCTTTGTGATCAACCGGTTGTTGTCACTTGTGTTGAAAAAGCACCTGTGGCCCAATGCAGTGGCAGGAAGACCCTTTGGCCGCAGCAGGCCAGTTCTAGCTTTACATTGAACTGCCGAGTTTGTAGGATTGCCGTAGTTATGAAGCACCTGTTTGCATTCAACAGATTCTGAATTGTGCTACACTTTTTACTCTGACACTTGCTCGTGAGCACACTTTGTGCAGGAATTCCAGAGTGGCTGCGGGACCAGTTTGCCGTGCCCAAGCTGCCGCCAGAGCCCACAGTCCGTGCCGGCCAGCGCAAAGTGAAGGCACACGGTGAAGTGACGGAGATCGCGGAACAAACGGTGACTTCTTTGTGTGCAACTCAAGACCCTTTTGTAGACAAGATTGAGTCGCTTTGGCATAGCGAGCTCACATTGACATACCAACCGCATTCTTTTGACTCTTTTTCCATCGTCCCACTGCCCACTCTGCTTATTTCCGTAGTCACAGTCCAAGTGCGGCATGACTTCCTCAGCATTGCAGGTACCTCAGCATTGCGTGGGCCGAATTCTTGGGAAGATGGGCGCCACGATCAATGAGATCCAGGAAGCTTCAAACACCGACATCAAGATGAACCAGGCCGCGAGCTCCGCACCGGTGGAGGTTTCATCCATGCGCTGATGGCGCATGGCCAAAGACTTTCTTTTTGTGGTGTGCGATCTCTTGCCAGGACACCAAGGAAGCAGGATACAGCTATGTGGCTTGCCCAACTTATGTAGCAAAGGAATCGAAACCATAGTCGCTCTGAGACTTCGAGGCCATAGTCACCAGCATCAAGAATGTGGAAGGCGACCTAGACACTGCGGAACGTCTCATCAATGAGAAGATCGCAGGCATGGCGTGATGCCACGATGACATGGCAGCTTGAATTCCAATAGACAGCTAACATGGCAGGTGGCGGCGGTGGTGGCGGTGGTGGCAACAGAGGCGGTGGCAGTGGTGGTCCGGAGCCTCGAAAACAGCCAAAGCGAATGTAAGGTAGAGGGCAATCACTTATTAATTATGACTTCTGCACAGCTTTTCTTGGCTCAGAATGCTGGAAGGAATGGCTCAGCCGCTGCCAACTCCTGCTGGCAATGAGACGAAGGTGCCAGGGTCTAGAGGGAACAAGAATACCTCATCTCAGCTTCCGAGTATATATGTCTTGACGGAGCAGAACGAAAAGTGCTGGCCTTGTTGGCATGGTTTGGAGTCAACATTTTGCAGGAGATGAGGGTGGAGAAGGCTGGAGCTGCCACACTCTAGACTCCAGGTTCAGATGTTCCTGAACGATGGGAGTTACAACCTTGTCTTGTCCCACCACGTCCTAAGCTTCTGCAGCTTCGCAGCAAAACTGGGAGGCCATTGTCGGCAGCTTGATCGGCAAAGGCGGCGAAGTTATCAGGACTGGCTTAGATAAGCAACAGGTGTCGTTGCTCGTGAAGACACAGATTGAGTGGACACTATTCAAACTTCTTCAACAATAGTGTTCCCAGATCCACTCAGTACTTGTGCAACTTGTGCTGCACGTATTCTCTTTCGGGAGCGTTCAAGGCCCTGCTGAACACCATTCCAGTTTATGAGTAGACCGGTACAGTCCCTTTCAGCTACTAAATGTTTAGGATTCTTTAGCTTCCCTTGAGTCCGATTCCGAATCGCATGACAGGATGATGACCTCCGAAGCCGGATGCCAGATTCAGATTGCTCAAGACCAAGTTGGGCTGGCATGCTGCTGCGCTTGTTTGAAACACCTAGTAGTAATGCCCTTTGTTACTATTAGCGGTGCCCTTGTTACTGGTAGCGTCTTGCTCCTAGTAGTAATGCCAGGAGCTACTAGTAGCGTTCTTGCTACTAGTTGTCAAAAGTCAAGAGTGGCGCTCCGACCGAGGATCAAACACAGGCAGGAGAGGTGGCCACTGTTACTTGGCGACGAACCGTGGGATGTGGGTTTTCGGGGTAGCGCCGAGCAGTGCGGGACCCTGTGACTGAAGGTCATCCTTGGTCCCGGCTCTCTTGACCAACTGCAGAAGGCCGAGGATTTGATCCAGGCACAGAAAGCGCTTGGGGCAGTAGGATCTTTGGGAGTCTGTTCTGGTCACAGGCTAAGATTGCTGAGAAGTCCTTTGGTGGCAAGGCTCAGATTCCGGGGACTTGCCTGAACACAAGGGCGCTGTTGCGTGCACTTTGACCCAATCCAAAGGAAGAAGCTTCTTTCTTTGGGAGAGATGCTCTCGTTGTTGGCCTTCTCCAGGGTGGTGGAGGGCCAATGGGCGGCGCCATCAGGCGGAAGACGAGTTTGATCAGCACACAGAAAAGAAGCAAAAGCTGTTCAATCCAAAAGCAGCGGTCGGTTGTGCCAGGCCCGGACCCTTGGGCTTTCCCCGCCCAGTGAACAATGTGCCGCCGCCCATGGGAGGTGCGAAGGGGCAAAGGGTCAAGCCCAGATATGTTCCTTTTCTGGGTGACAAAAGACTGCTCAGCTTCGAAGATCTATACAAAGGTAAATTCTGGGTGGGCCACTTGGCCAGGTATGTGTCCACCACCACCAGCCGCCGGCTTGTCTGGAGTACCTCGACCGCCCTTGCCATTGAATCTGAGCCCCGGCTTGGGTGGAGGACGGAGATAGAACGTTGAGTGGGTTTTGGAATATGCATTGATGTGAATCACAATGAAAGGATTACGACGAAGTGCACAAAGAAAGTGAAAGCACATGGGAAAGAAGAAGAAAAACAACATGTCTGTCGTTTGTATACCATATCCCGACAGGCAAGGGCTGTGGTGGCCCAGGCTGTGGTGGCTGCTGCCCGCCAGGCCCACCAAGTGGCTGCACCCTTGGTGGGTGCAGTGGGTGCTGTGGAGGCTGTGGCCCCGGCTGCGGAGGGGGCTGCGGCTGTGGAGGCTGTGGAGGCTGTGGAGGCTGTGGTTGTGGTGGCTGCGGTGGCTGCGGCGGTTGTGGCGGCTGTGGTTGTGGAGGCTGTGGGGGGCCAGGAGGCTGCAGTCCAGGCTGCGGGGGTTGTGGGTGTGGAGGCTGTGGTTGTCAAGGTTTGGGTGGCTGCCCACCAGGGGGCTGTGGATGTGGAGGATGCGGCTGCGGCTGTGGAAGCTTTGGCAAAGGAGGTGGCAAACAATGGGGACCACCTCCGCCTGGATGGTGAGTAGCGTGAGTTTTGGGCACGGCGTTAGTTGCACAGGCACACGGCATGTGTGGCCAGAAAGGGTGTCAACATCGTCCACACATCAAATTTCTTTCAAATTCACAATTCTTTTTTGGATAAGTGGGGCGATGTGTTGATACATATTCACGCCAAAGGAAGCATGACTTCACCCTGCATATTTTGGCGCTGTCCTCAAAATATCGCAAACACATATGGCAATTTGATTTTTATTATCAATATAAATATGGGCTAGGATAGAATATATATAAATATAAATATATATATATAAATAGATAAAATTAACATATATTTGGAATTATTGTAATAAAATATATATAAATAAATATATATAATCTAAAATTTAAATTAAAACAATGAAATATCTTAAACAATTTGATTATTAATCAAAATAATTATATTATATATATAATATACGAATATATTCACGTCGCTTCGCGACGGTAATCGCCCGTATCGCATGGAAGGGGATGATATTTCTACCGAACATAGTCCTGGAAGTGATTTTTTCTTGGTTATGTTTTGAAATAGGGATTTAATATGGTTTAATATAGTTGGGGGGTTAAAAGATTGTTATTGGTAATAAGGAATACGATTTGGAAGGGGGTATTGTGCTTTTGGAATTAAGGGAGTTAAAATAAAAGGAAGATAGGAATTTAAACGTCATAAATCGAGGTATTTCTTTTTAAAATAACTTAAAATCGTGCAATTCGATTCGTGCAATTCGGTTTAATAGGAATATAGATAAATTGTTTTAACGTGGCCCGATATAATTTTTATATTGTCGAATATGCCTAGAACGGCCTTTCTTTCTTTTTAATGTGGTTGAATATAGTTACCATATTGCTTGGAACGTCGTAAATATAAGGCTTAATATGAGTAGAGATAAGTAGAGATAAAATCTGGGCACGATAACAATTTTAGAAGATTTTATCTTTAGCATGTTAGGGATTTGAACGTCGTAAATATGGCTTAATGGAACTTAAAATGGATTAGAATTTGGCGTGTCGGGTAAGCTTCCGAATTTGGCGTGTCGGGTAAGCTTCTGGAAGGGAAACGATTTGGAACGGGTTTTTGTGCTCTTAGAATTAAGGAATAGAATATGAAAGGAATATTGTTCGGATACATGCAATAGAACGCCTTCCTTGGATAATATAAGGTTAATATGCAGGTTATAAAATTCGTGAAATATAATCTTAAGGCATGTGTAAACAAGTTCGAGCACAAGACTGCAAGCATGTTGGAATGGATCTTATTAGGGGAAGGAATGATGCGATATTCGATAGTCCAAGGGCCTTTTCAAGTAGTCGTAGTTACTGCAGGGCCGCCACCACTACCGGAAATATCACGATAGGACGGTTAATCCTAGCAGATTCCTTTCTTTTTCAAACAAGCTTAGGCTCAAAGACTACAGCCATTTTGGCATGGATTTAATCAAGGCAAGAAATGGTCCATATTTTAAAATATAAGTAAAATGTTGTAGAAGGGTCGTCATTACTATCAGAAACGAGTTTTTGTGCTACAACCATTTGGGTATAAGTCTAATCAAAGGTAAAGGATGACGTTATCATGCAAAAAATTATGTTTATTTTAAAATGCATGAATTATTTCGGTTAAATATGTAAAATATAGCACGAAAACGGGGAATTAGTGGGCCATACAACGTATACGATCAAAGAAAGACCGCTTTAAAGTAGTCAACCAGAAAAAATGAACAATCTCCCTTAATATTCTTTAAGACCTACGAACACCACAATAGACTTGTTTAATAATCCACGACCGGAAAATGCATAATTTCCAACCTAGACGCGTCTTCCTGCAATAATTGCTACGAATATTTCCAATGCGGAAATCGATAGCGAGGCGTAATAAGTCGTGGTATTCATCGATCGACACCGGAAATAACCTATTCATGTCGTCATTAGCGATGGTTGTTTTCGTTACTTCAATCGTAACCGCATTATTGCATTAATAAATAATATTCCATCACTAAGGGTCCTATATTTCCAGAAGGCTTCTAACCTAGAGGTATCTCTTCCGGAAATACCTATGGCGAATACTTCCAGCGCGGAAATCGGCGATAAAAGCAAAACGCACTAGTAAATTATATACCATTACTAAAAGTCCTGCTAAATAAATATTCAATATTTATTGCAATATTTTCCAAAAGGATGGTGAATTAAGGTTTCAATTTCCCTAGCAATTCAGGCAATCAAAGAAAACAAAATAAAAGAATTCTTATGCAAAAGGTCATGTTTTGCATATACAGGCGTTCAACTACCCTGGGCAAAGCTCGATTGTGCTACCTAACTAAACGTACAACTATATGACAGGTGTGGTCCCATGTTGCACCTACCGGAAGCTATCTAGGACTGTATGCGAGCAAATAAGACGTATCTTTACTTTATTCCAACCCGTTTTCAGCCCATTTTGAGTCCCTGTCTGCGACGTTCAAGTCCCTATCTCGAGGAGACATGCTTGAGATAGTGACTTTGCAAGCTTTTCCAGTTCCTTTTGAGCCCTCGTTGGGCCATGTTAGGCCATGTTTACGATGTTGCCGTTCCGGAACGTGATCTCTGCTTATCTCTGCTCCTGCGGAGCCAAATAGCACTTCTAAAGCTATGTCAGGCAATATAGAAGTCCCTATCTCGCAAATACGTCCTTTAGATAGTGACTTCTAGGGCTATGTTCACTCTATTCCAGTCCCTTTTAGCCGTCGTTGGGCCATGTTTACGACATTCAAGTGCCTATCTCGGGGAAGCATACTCGAAATAATGACTTCTGGGGTTATGTTCGACCATATGGGAGCTATGCTCGTAAGATAGTGTTGCCGTTCCTAGACCTGATCTGCACACACTTAAGATAGTGCCTTCGGGGGCTATGTTCGATCATACAGAAGCTATGCTCGGGAGAAAATGTTACCATTCCTAATACCCGGACGTTCAAGTCCCTATCTCGCAGACACGTCCGTTAGATACTAGTGACTTCTGGGGCTATGTTCGATCGTATGCACGCTCTGCTTGCGCGAAAATGTTACCGTTCCGGAACTGGATCTCTGTTTATCTCTGCTCCTGTGGAGTAGAATATTTCAGCCCAGCCTGTCGGCTGGCTTTCGTAAAAGGCTGTGCAAAAACGCAGGTGCCTCTAGAGTAGTGCCATGTTGTGTTTCAAGCAGTCTAGCTCTGCGTTGCTCCTGCTACGCTATCCGGATGTTTACGCGCAATGGTTGCGAAGGAGGACTCAACATTAACATCATATTGCTTTCATCAAGCCAGTACATATAATATACCGAAGCACTGGAGCAGCGGCTTCAAATTTTCCGGGCGGATCGAAACGTGAGCCTCTCCACTTGTTCGCCTGTCTGATTGGCGTTTTGTTGGGCCCGCGTACGGTCGTTGGAAGCTTGCAAAATGCGACAACCCTAGCGCGTCAGCGCAACGTCGCATCCCCTTAACAGCAAGAGGCCAGCCGCCAGCCGGCGACCTCAGCGCTAAACGCAACCTCGCATGCCCTTAAGAGCTAGCAAGCAAGTGAGTGAGTGAGTGAGTGCATAAGTGAGCACGTGAGTGAATGAGTGAGTAAATGAGTCTCAGGTGATTCTGTTCTGAGAGTCAGTCGCTATCTGGGGTCTGTGCCAGTGTAATTTTTATTTCAAAATTATGCCAGAGTGGACCCCAAATAGCAGCTAGCAAAACATACTTGTGGGCAGCCCCCTGCAATTGCATAGACATATTGGGGCACCGTGCCGCGGCACGAACGCACAGAGCCATAACATGAGGTAGCAGCATGCTCCACACAATGCACTGCCATACACATCTGGCAGCACCATTGTCCAAGCTCCAAAGCGCACATGGACATCCTTGGGGAGGAGAATAACTCAAGCAGATTCGAAGGTGCCACCATTCCATGGCAAAAGGCTTTTTGCAGGTCTGGCGAGCTAAGGGGGCATCAACACGCCAAAGGGATAGCAGCACCACCCTGCAGCGGCACCAATACCCAGCCTCCAGAAGCACCACTGCCATCAACATCTGGCAGCAAAGTAGATCCCTACAGCGGCACGGGTACCCAGGATCCAAACGCTGTCATAGACATCTGGATCATCTGGCAGCAATACCCTGCAGCGGCACCAGCATCCAAGCTCCAAAACGCACACAGCCCTGCACATCTGGCAGCGGCACCCTGCAGCGCCACCATCACCCAAGCTCCACAGCGCGCGCAGGCACCTCGTCCTAGACTAGACACTTGAAGTAAAAAACCCAATTGCTCTTGTATCTAGGGGCTAAAATACACATGGATAAAAACACATAAGCACTATGAACATGAAGAGCCTCGCGCCGCTTTGGAATACCATCACGCGCGTGCACCCGCCGAGAACATGCTGCAAAATGGTGTTCTTGGACGACAACAACAACAACAACAAAAAGCAGGATCTGTGAGGAAGAAGATCAATTGGGAAGTAGTTTTTACAACCCTGTTTTGCAAGACTCTCGCCGACAACAGAAACAGCAAGCCTTACGGCATCTTTACTGCATCTTACAATCCGTTGTTTGGTCGAAAATAACTAAGTCATTAAAAGTCGATCGTCGAACTGCTTGATATATGGTGTTAAAACATGTTAAATAATGTTGAATACAACAATTTTTTGGAATCAATCATCCTCCTTCGCTCTCTGCTTCGTATTCCGCTTCATCCAAGTTCTCGGGTACTGTCCGCGACCTTCTCTTCAACCTCAATTGAAACAAAATAACGGAAGCCTGAGTCTATCTATCTATGTATATATATATATGCAATATGTATATCTAACTATATACCAAGCTGTCAAATCCTTCAAGACTTTCACAGCAAAAGGCGCTGATGGTGTGGCCAGGGCAGATTTGCTTTCCCTCCCACGGAAGGCCACCATTGAATTGATGGGCTTCTTTCTCCGAGCCAAAGCGGAGCATGGATGGCCCGATCAATGGTTGCGAGCACAAATGCACTGTCTGGCAAAAAAGGATGATGCGGAGGATGTGGGTTCATACAGACCAATCACGCTTTTCTCGTTGGCCTATAAGGTTTGGGCAGGCATCCGAGCCAAACAAGTTCTGAGTTTTTTGGGACATTTCCGCTTCGAGCACCAAACCGGTTTCCTGCCTCATGCCATGGCATCGGACATCTGTTTTTAGTGCAGACTAAGATTGAAGCGGCTTTTGCCTCTGACCAATTGAGGTGTGGTGTTGTGGCTGATTTGATCAAGGCTTACAACACGATCCCATGTAAACCGGTTCAGTGTTTTTCGAGGACCGTTAGGGTGCCAAACAATCTGATCAACAACTGGCACGACTTCCTTGGAGGCTTGAAGAGATGTTTCGTGGTGAGGAATTCGGTCTCTGATCCCACTCTCAGTTTTAGTGGATACCCAGAGGGGTGCCCTCTGTCTTGTTGTGCAATGGTCAGTCTTGACATAGCATGACATGCATACCAGAAGAAGTACTCCCCGACTGTGCAGCATCTTTCATTTGTTGACAGAGTTGGTCGCTACTGATTTGTGTCATGGAGGAGTTCAGTAAAATTTGTGATCTTGAGATCGACCGAGCGAAGTTGTGTGTATGGGCCACGGACTCTGCTAGCAAACGTACTCTTAAGGCTGGTGGATTCACTATCCAACTAGACGCAAGGGATCTTGGTGGCCAAGCCAACTACAGTGCTAAGTCACATGTTCGCACCATTGTTGACAGAATTGATGGGGTCCGGAGCTGTTTTGCTGATTTGAGAAGTCCCAGTTTGGGCACTTGGAGAGGATTCGTTGCATTTCCGGTGCTTTGTGCAGAACAGCTTGACCCGGAATTCTTTCAGTTATGGCGCTCCATTCACCTTTTTCCACGCCAATGTTGCAACCGTCAGAAAATAAGAAGTTCTTGGTCAATCGTTTTGGCTGGTAGGCCAGGATACAAGGTCCCTTTTCCAAAATCTTGCATTTGTTTGATGACATTGGTTGGTCCATCGATGAGAATTTCATTGTGGAAGCGCCGTGTGGTTTTCATTTCTGCATTCTTGAGTGTTGTGAAAGCTCACGCGCATTGCTGCATACTTCTGGCGTCAGAAAGTTGTGAGTCATATGCAGAAGCACAGAAGTCTGGCAGACCTGGATGGCTGTGAAGCTTCCCACATTGAACTGCTGGACAAGGTCTTGACACGAGCCGATTCCGAGGGCTCTTTGCATTGTCCGTGATGGCAGCAACTTCACCAAGGACTGTATTGCCCACTTCAGTTCTGAATCTAAGTTGTGCGACATTTGCAAGGTTGAAGACACCCGTGAGCATCGCTTTCTGACTCGTCCGAAATCACGGGAGCATTTTTAAGATCTGCCAAATCAGTGGCGCTGCACGGCCTGACGAGTGCGAATCCTTTCAAGCCCCTGTATTGGCAAGCGCTTTTTGCTTTACGTGCGTACGATTTTGAGTTCAGATTCCCTCCTCGAGCTTCTGGTTGCTGGATGTTGTTCACCGACGGCAGTGAAAGCAACCAGCAGAACAAGGAGCTGGCCCTTAGTGCATGGGCAGTCGTCTCAGTCGATGAGGACGAGGTTGTTAGCGCTGGCTGGACACCGGGTCTAAACCAGAACGTTCCCCGTGCAGAAACCCTTGCTCTTCTAGCTGCGGTTCGATGGCTGTCCAATGAACGATGGTCACATCTGGATTGACAACCAGGGTGTTGTCGAAGTTGGTATATAGGGGATTGGTTAGTGGAGGAATCCTGCCTGATGGAATCGAACATGAGGACCTTTGGCAGCAAGTTGAACTTGAAATCAGCCACTGTGGATGCAACCTTTGGCTTCACAAAACACCCAGTCACACAGACCAGGACAGCTGCCACTCTGAACTTGAAAGTTGGCGTGCCTACTACAACGACCGCACTGACACTGCGGCTCGTTGGACCAATGCAAATAGGCCTAATTGGTTCGCTGGCGTCTACCAAAGATTTGCTGCAAGATGGCATGCTGATGACGAGATCTTCCGTCAGATCAGTAAAGTTCACTCGGAAGTGGCACGCATCGATTTGTCTTCATGCCGTGAAGGAAAGCCAAACAGTGAGCCGGTTGAGGAATTCGTTGTTTCGAGAGAGCGGACAGACTGTATAGAAACATTCACCCTGGCTGCATGTGATCGAATTCCAGGTTGGATTGATCTGCCCGGCCACAGGTCAAGACATTCTGAGGCCCTTTTTGATTTTATTTGTTAGTGCCTTGAGGGAGAAGGAGGATCGGTTGGATGGGTTTCCTTTGTTGAGATTGCGATTGGTTTGAGCGCTCTTGTTGGTTGTGATCTGGTCAGTTTGGGTTCTTCTGATCCTCCTAATCCGTGCTTGCAGGTCACCTTTTCATAGGAGCTCAAGCTTTTGAAGAAAGCCTGGCAAATCTTGTGTAGGCTCCTTAGCATAGAGTACCCGGTAGCTTGGGTTGATTTGTCTTGTGTCCGAGTTCACAGTAGCGGTGGTGCGGTTCGTTTGGCGTAGCCTTTCAATTTCAGTGTTGAGGGTTCGGTTTTGTCTGTTTTGGATGAGTTCACTAGACATCGACCCATTGTGAACAGCCAGGGGCTGGCGAGGCCGCTTAGTGTGTTCTGGGCGATCCTATGGATGCTCTCTCCGCCGCGCACAGCCGCGGAAGACGTTTGCCCGAACATCAGTCCGCGCTTATAATATAGTTATTTATATGCATGTATAGTGTATATATATATATATATGTATGTATATATGCAGCACTAAGCAACCGGATCATTCAGTTCAGCTGCACGGATCTGCTTCAAATGTCTTTCAACATCTAGGAATCTAGGATCCCTTTGTTACATCCATCTTATATACTTGTACCCCATGCTATCTGGCTACCTGGCTCACCGCCACAAAAAGAACAAGGCTGATGTCTTTGGACACTTTGCTGCTTGTGCCTTTCTACGTGGCCCATCTCCAGCTATTTAGTATCACCGTGCTCCACGTGCAGCTCAGTCGCAACTTGCGGGCGACGCGGGTAGCATTTTTGCGCCACGTGGCGTAGGTCAACCGAGAACCGTACCTTGGATCCGCATCTGGAATCGCATTGGAGGAAAGCTCTTGCTGTCTGTGGGGAAAAGGATCTTCCTCCCTCCCTGGTATCTATGTACCTTGGTATCTATATACACCTTAGGGCAGAAAAACAAAGCTGCTTCACAGGAAAAAGGTATTGTAGTCCCCGATAATTGCTTTCTTCAGAAAAGCTGAAGTGGGGACCCCGGAATAGACACGCACACGCACACGCACACGCACACACACACACACTCTACAAACAAACATTGCGGATGCAAGGTATCTGCCGTGAAAAGCACTTCCCAAGGCTGTTGTGAAAACCCTAGTTGATGATACTTTTGTTTGCATTGACATACCAAGAATACCTCGGCCCGAACTCCTCCAACTATCACTCTCAGGCCTCCTTTCGGCAACACATTCATCTTTTGCGGTCCAGGCCTCTCCACCTCATTCAAAGACTTGGCAACATGTTCCTCTGCTCTGGCAGCTCGGATAATCCTTGGTTTTGAGCGCCATCTGGCCTTCAAAACTGGATTCAGTCACTGACAAAGAGTTCCTACTCTGGTGACCTACAAGAGGATCCACAAGGGACATGGTGTGCCCAAAGTCAAACCGACGACATGTCCTCAACTACTACTGACATCCTGGAATGGAGTCCATCGCTGTCCTACCCACGCCCATGAATGCATATAGTAATATCAATATCTGGCTACATTAATAAAACCCAAGAACTACTGTACATGTAATGTATGTATTTCGTATGCATTATACACCTGTGATGGTACCCCTTTTGCCAGAATTTAAGGAAGCCTTGTTAACCTGCGATACCTGGAGCATGGGGAGTAAACTTGTGGTGTTTCAAGGGTCACCGCACATGACCAAACTACATGCAACATCCGGATGCCTGATCAAACCAACATCCAACTTTGCAACCAAAGATCTCTTGAGTGCTTTCCGGAGCCTCTGCCAGCCAATGTCCCAATGCCACACGGGCAGTATTGTAACCCAAATCGATGATCTCCTTGCGGGTGTTCAGCCGAAAACTTGAATCTGAGTGTTCGCACATGACGACTCCAAAGGCCAGCCTTGTACTTGGGCATGTCTAAAAGGCTGTAAGGCGAAACATCCTGAGTATCAAGAAAAGTCAAAAGCTGGCTGGGACACAACATCATATCTAGTGACCTGCCGAGTGTATAAATAGAAAGACACTCTTTAGCATTTTGAGGTCAACCAATCTCTATGTTTTTTATTTATTCTGAATCTGAGTGCACACTGAACCGGATTACGACTTGTTTCATCTATGGTATAGCTTGTAGCTTGAAGCACTTGATCAAAAGGCTACTTTGTTCAGCAAAGACTCTGGAGAGATCACCAGATCGGCCCGTTCTTTGTGTGGATCCTGTGTTTTGAGGTGAAGGGTGGCACGTGTAAGAAGCAAACATTATTCAGAGTGAGAAACATTTTCTGGTTCAAACCTACTGCTTCCCAGCCTTCAAAGCCTCTACCAGGTACATGAGCCGCTCCTGCAGAAAACCAGAGCAACTGAACCCACCTGTGTCCCAGTAACAGGTCTCACAAAAGGTGACGAAGGTGGTGTCGCAAATTGTTGGCATCCGTGTTTATACATTTGAGGATGTTTAATCCACATTTCACACGTTGAAAAACAGTGCAGTTCAAGCAACGAGAGACTCAATCAGCTGAGATCAACAGCTGAGTTCCAAAGAAATCTCGGTCGCGCAACGAGATCCAGGTCGCCTGGATCTCTGCTTGTGTCGGTGGGTCTCGGTCAGGCTCTCCACCGCTTCGGCGACAGCACATGAGCCGTCGCTTTAAGGTCACCAAGCCGCCCCAAACGGCATCACCATAGTCGGTACCTTGGATTCTCAACAAAACGCACTTGAGAGGAGGGAGACACGAAAGGTAGGACAGCGGGAAGAGAAGAGAACGCGAGAGGCAGGAACAAAAACTCTGAGGCAGCGATGCCAGCTTGCATCCCCAAACGACAATGCAGGGGAGGCTAGATGGAGCAAATGACTTCCAAAGCTCTAGGGAGAAATCACTCCGATCCGGAAGCACCCACACTTGCTTCACAAAACAAAGCTTCACAAAACAAACTCTAGGTATTTATCCCCTCGGAGGCGACCTTTCGTAAATATAATTTCATATGCACTCTAAATGTTCAAACATATGCTCTCGAAATGTTCAAAAAGATTCTTAGGAAAACAAACGTACCCCATGGCTCAGATCATCGGTGAGCATTGAATCGAAGCATCATAGGATTTGAACTATCCTGAAACCATAAGAGGCTCACGAAGACGTTCCCCAGGAGAGAATTGGCGTGCTTCACAAAACAAACTCTAGGTATGTATCCCCTCGGGGAACACCTTTCGTGATTAGAATTTCATATGCACTCTGAATGCTCAAGAGGGTTTCAACTATCCTGAAATCATGAGAGGCTCACGAAGACGTTCTCCAGGAGAGAATTGA